TGAGATCATGGAACACTCATAATCAAAACATTTAATCCTATTGGCCAATAAAGACTTCGAATAGAATGAAGTCGAGAATTGTATAACTCCTAGCAGAAACTTCATCGATCACTAATTGAATTATCATGGTTTTTCAGAGAATGTTTTGTTCGATCGCTTTTTATTTATTAGATTACGTGAGTGCTTCTTTGTTTTATCTGGTGAAGCCATTTTCAGAGAGTAAAACCGTAAAAAATCATACAAACTTTTAGTTCGATTTTAAAAACGTGTTTTCTCTAAGTTCCGCCTTTGATGAGCCATTTTTAATCTTCACGGCGGCCGGCTGAGACGCTAAATCAATCGGATTCCTTCGTGCGGCCTTTTCAAACTAGTGCACGAGATATTGCTAAATACCAGTCTACTGTGGCAAGCATAAACTTGGAAAACGGATTTTTCCCGACGCTGGTTTTCTAGAGACCCTCTAGAAATCCTATAGAAAGCCCTGAAAATTATTCCATTGAATTCCCTATGATTTTTTACCTAAAATCCAGATTTTCAGGTTTCTGGCTTCGAACTAAGGAGGCTTCGAAACTAAGGAATTTAGTGAAAAATCACTGGGCCGATTGTTCTATGTGTAAAAAGAAAGGCAATTTTTCGGCAACGAAGAGGAATTTCGAAGAAAAAAAGTTATAACTTTGTTGCCCGCTTAACAGCGATTCTACTCACGCAAGAATGATAGCGATAGCTATTGATAGAAATGAGTTGATAGGCCGCCAATCAGACGGCCTCTTTTTTGAGATATGCCTCTAAATTATTTTGGTAATCGATCACATCATATCTGAGCAACCTCAAAACATATTTACATAGGCATTTTCATACAGAGATTTCAGAAAAATAACTTTCAGAGCTCTAAATTGACACCAGAAAAAATCAGAAAGATTTTTTTAGTACTGAGGGATTTTTCGGTTTTTGAAACCTTCTCAGTATTTTGAGTTTTTCTCCACGAAAATGCAACTAAATTCAACTCAAAAGGTTATATTCGGAATCAGCGTGAGACGCTGAACCCGAGTGTATGACGTAAAGTAGAAAATTAGATGTTGTGAAATCTTTGAATTAGCTGCGCCTTATTTATTAATCATCTTTTTTTGAGCGGGTGGGTATTATTCTCAATAATCATCGCTTACGAAGCTTCATCAACAATTTTATAAGATCGAGACATCCTCATCAGTAATCAGTTCCTCAAAGATCGTCACTTTCGTCTCTCGATAAGTCAGAGCCATTTCAAAAAATTGATAATTATTTACAAAGAAAAATCAATGTGGTCAACCTCCAGAAATTTAATACAGATTTGAATTCTCCGATCTCGATCTGTTTTCGCCAACCGTTTCACTCGTAACAGGACTCTTACAAATGGGTCCTTATGAGAAAACAGTTTTGCAGCGAGAAACGGATGCACTTTTCTTTGTCAGAAACCCTTGATATGTCATCCTGTAGACTTTTTTTTTGTTTTTTGAGACCATATCCGTTTGACATGTAAAGGACAGTTGATCAGCAGAAAATGTAATCCGAATCGGCTGTGAAAATCAAGTCCGTCCTTAACGAATCTTGCCCAGAATAAGTCACAGTTACTGTAATACTGATAAATATGCTGCTGGGCGTTGATGAATCTTTTTTTTAAAGCTCCGTCATTTTTTCATCCTACAACTTCAAAAAGAGATCGCTTTACAAGGTAAACGCAGGCATCAGGTATATTACGGTTTCCGGTGAGTCGGACACATGCAATTTTTTCCCTGCTCCTCATTAATCTATTCGATGTGTTGCATGAAGACAAAATAGTTTAGTTTATTATTCGTCTCTTTACAGCTATGGACAAGGTGGAATGTCCGTCTTTGTCCGATCTCGATATTAATGTGGTCGAACTGCTATGTAGGGCTAATGTATATCACGTGGTAGCCATCAATGATAAAGAGTTAGACGCTAAAGCTCGCGAAATTTTAACAGTATGGAGCCGATGTGCCATTACTCCTCCTCCTATTGTTATACAATCTGATTCGCTTGATCCTGTGTTCAACACACTCACAAACCAAAAGCTCGATGCTAAAAGCTTAGTTCTTTCACTTGTCGCCGACAAGACATTCAAAGACTCTATTATAGACAGTCTTAAACGATATCACGCTCTTCACGATATCATGACATTACTGCCAAGTTGTTTGAACATCGCATCGTCCACTTTGAATATTTCTTCCAGTGCTATGACTGATTTTAAAGCATTGGTAAAAATTGTTCGAAATGTTACGTCACGATTAATTCTAATAGCAGTAACGGAATCAATGAACGATGATAGCCAACGTTATTTCGCTAATTTCATCAGGAAAAATGATTTACCAGTTCCTCTTTCCTACTATATATTCAACGTGAATAAACTGCAAATTGAATACGTGATTAATTTCAACTTGATCGTCGAAATCCTCTGCTTGACAAATGATCGTATCCTTCTTCAGGTGGGAAGTTCTTCTGCCATCGGACAAGGTAAATCAAGTCTTCTTCCATACATATGTTCGGATAAACGGCATGAATCTATCAATACAGCTGGAAATGCATTGTTACGCACTGGATGCGTCGACGTGCTATCAGGAACAATTCAGAGTAATAACGAAGGTCAACAAGCATATACGATCTTTGATGTTCATGGTACTGTTCAAAAGGAATTGAATTATGACTTGATTCGCACTATTCAGTACTATGCTGCCATTCTCATTTTCTATATTACCATTGATGATTTAGAATCAGACACTTTATCAGCCCTGTTTTGCGATATTTGTCGGCAACCGATTATTGTCGTTGTTTTCGATCAAGATTTCGACGATAGGGATATGGAATCGAAGTCAGAACTCCTCGATCGATGCCAAAATGGGCTGAAGCGATTCTTACATACAACGAGTACGTCTTCTGTTCACGTTTTACTTGCTCCTTGTGCCTCATTATGGGTGCAAAAGTCAGACAATCGAGAGTTTGACGAAGAGAATCGGACACAACTCTTACGGCAGTCGTTTTCAGACGCTTTCACACAATTGGAATCGGCAATTTCTCAGCAGCAACCCCTTATTCGCTCTTCCTTTATGATACAGTCTCGATTTTTGAGCTATCGGTCAAGCAATGCTCGACCGACTGTGGACGTATGTTCATTTGCCGTCGAAAACAAACTTAAGCAATTGCTCGAAGGTTATACTGATCAAACAGACAATTTACTCAATGCAACACCGGTTATTTATTTACAAGGCAAAATTCGCGCGGTGGAAAAACAGTTAACTAGACATACAGAAGAAGACATGAGATCAATTGTCGAAATGGGAACTCAATTAAAAGCAGAGCTAAATAAAATCACGTCCGTGTCAGCACTTGCTAGCTTCTTCATTCAACTGCTAACTCAAAAGACGTTCGTCGAACTGCTCATCATCGAAAAATGTTTGGAGAAATGGCGGTCAAAATATCAACCGTTGCTTCTACTAGCTATGTCGAATATAAAGGAGAGTGCCATTAACTGGACGAACACCATCAAGCAACATGAAACAGAAGAGCAGGCTCTGGAGAAACAAACTTCAACCGATCCGAGCGTTGCAGAAAAGCGTTTAGACATTGCAGGACGTTTAAAAGATGCTAAGGCACAATTTGCCAACGCCCACCATGAAATGGAAAAATTGGAGAATAAACTCCTGAACGTTGATTTGACAATTGGATTATTTCTCGATGAGATCATGGCCATAGCTAACTTCAATCCAGTGTTGTTCGATACTCAGAATCCTCAGGCTGTCATTGATCGTCTCGCCGTCTGCTTTGTAGGTTTGATGAATCGAGGTATCGCATTGCACATTTTGCGTGGCCGCCCACTAGAGTGTCCTAGTCCACTCCTAACCAAAAGTATTCAAATCGCAGGTAAAAATGCTCGAAGTCCTCCATTTGTTGTAAGCGTTATTGGTGAGCAGTCATCGGCAAAAAGTTCTTTGCTAAACACGTGTTTTGGTACGAATTTTCGCGTCAGTTCTGGCCGATGTACTATCGGTGTTTATTTTAGTATAGTCCACTGGGGAGATTTGACTGTAGTTCTACTTGACACCGAAGGCTTGTTATCCGTGGAGGAAGCAAGTGCCCTATTTGATAACCAGATCGTTACTATGGCTATGCTTTCGTCCCACGTCGCGATCATCAATCACAAGGGCGAGTTTAGCACAACACTCGGTTCTCTTATTGGCATGTCACTTTATGCAAAAACAAAACTTGAAGCGAACATGAAACCCGCTTTGCTTTTTATCCTTCGCGATCAATCAGATACAACAGATGAAGCAAAACGCAAGCATTTTTTTCCTCAATTAACGACACTCAAGCAGGCTCTTCAGACTGACGCTAATTTCCTTACGGTCTCACTTGACGACGTTTTGGACATCAGTTCGAATGCGGTAATGTTGCTCTCAAATGCAATTGTTAAAGATATTGATAAGAAGGCAGGCATTAAGCAGACTTATCGAAACAAAAGTTTTCCCATTGAAATTCAAGAGGTGCGACGCATGATTTACACTTATCTGATATCTTATTTGAAAACTAATGTTTACAAGGATTTTGATAACATGTCACGAATGTTGGCCAGCAATTGGTCAGTTATTGATCAATTAGGACCGGATCTCTTGTCATGCAAAACATTAATCGAATTGAGACGCATGACAGAAGTACAAAGCATGGCGCTTGATATTCTCAAACCTGCTGCCATATCTCTTAGCAAAAAACTTGACAATTTAGTCGAATACACACTGCAACAGCTCGAGCCGATTAAAATGACAATGGTATTGATGAACAATGCTACTGCAAAGTTTCAACAAGACGTTGAGACAACTGTGGAGAAGTTACGAACTCAAGCTCTCAATGAGTTCTCAGATAAGACGGCAAAATCATACTTTTCTATCGAGGTGACAGAAAAATGGAAGCGTACGATTATTTCGTCTCTTAAAAACTTGACTGAACAATGGAATCATATCTTCGACGATCGCTTACAAGCAAGTTCTCATGCAAAAATTGCCAAGGAAGTCGAAGATACACTTATCGCTAGAGCTGAAGAGCGTTTTAATCAGGATAAATCCCCGAATGTTGAGCAATTGCGCCACATGATGAAAGATGAAATCGATAAACTTCGTTTAGCCTCGCAAAAGAATCAACAAGCCCTATTTGAACAACCTGCCGTAATAACTGAGAAGACTGTGCGTCTCTACAATAGCTGTCTCGGGCTGCATACACATGGGAGCAGCCGAATGATTTATAATATGATGCACAAAATGCCACCTGCTAATTTCATGTCTTATTCTGAAACGTTGGCTCAAGTGCTGCCCCTTCTTGCTGATTTCGCTAAGCAAACAGAAAATAAACCAGGTTTCCGTCAGCGTGTCATGAACACTTTTGGTTTGTCGGCTGATTTCGACAAGATGTGGTCACCGTTGCAAAGTAAGATTCACTGGTTCAAAAGTTCCAATGCAACCAGTCATCGCAAAATCCTTTCTGGAATTTCTTATACGGTTCTCCCAAAACTACAACGCGAGCTCCGTCAATTGGTTAACGTGTCTCATCCCATTTACAACAAAATGCCCGTAATGGAACAAGCCATCGACGTAATTGAGGAAGCAGTGAATCTGCGGGAAGTTATCGACCTTGAGAAGGACCTCAATCGCACTGTTTTAGTAGGCGATTTAGCTGTGATTGCTCTGCGTCTGCTCATTGTTGAATCAATTAATGTCGACGAAAAGCATTACAAATTAAAATCTTTGGAACTAAACGACCGAATTAGATCACTCGAGCAAAGTGTCGAAAGGCAAATTGCTTCGATGGAAGATGCAAGCAAACAAGGAAACGAATTGGCAAGCACAGTAGCTACCGCTCTATTTAGCGAACTCAAACGAGTAGTGACTGTTAGAATTAAGCATGACATTCGTCAAGCCGTTACAGATTCCAATTATATAGTACACGACAACGTCCAAAATCAAGCCTACACCTCCAGTTTTACTATGGGCAATGCGCAGAAGATTCTTAAGTATGTAGCAGATATCAATCGATATTTTCTTGAAATCAGCTTGGATTCAATACGAGCCATTTTCAATGCCGTCATAAACGATCAAACCATACAGCTTGAATCACTTATTAATACATTGCTTAACGATATCAATAATGGAGTCCATTCGAATGAATGCAAGAACTATGCCGAAGTTAAGAAAATCATTGAAGAATGCGCCAACAAATCGTTCGTGCGTAATACCAAGGGATATACAAATGTAAGTTTCAGATTCCCTGCTGCTTTACCTATGAATATTGACAACAGTGCTCGCTTCAAATCAGCCTTTCGTAGTATTCTGCAATATTCCTCCCAAGTTCCTGTCGAGGTCTCGTCGATTATCAGCTCTCTAAGAAGTGAAGCCTTTGATGAATGCGTAAAAACTATTAAGCAGAAGTTAGGATGTGAGGCACGATGTCCCGGATGTGGTGCAAAATGTGCGGTGATCGGTGACCATGAGGAAAAAATTGTGGTTCGTATGCCACGTCCAGGATTCGAGCCACCGTCGGATGCCAACGCACCAGTCAAGATTCACAATACCAATCACCATTTGGCTCGCTGTCTGCATGGAAGTCAATATCATGGCACGAACCAACCTGTTTTGTTGAAATGCTATCAAAAATGGACAAGCTCTTCATTTCACTTGACAGATGGTACGATTGTGAGTTCTCTCTATTTCAATCACTTCCATCCATCTTGGTTTAATAATCTCGACGAAATGGCACGCACAGCCACTGATCGCAACATTGAGCATGCTTCGTTGGAACAACGCCGAGCTTGGATGTTTGTTCGACATGTAATATGTCGCGAAAATGAATTAAAAGATTATTCCGATGCTACCTATAAAACCTTTCCAGAATCGTATCCATTGCTTGAATCACTTCCAGCTGATTTCCACGTGATTTGGAATGACATATCGCTGTAAAACCTTTCTATGTTCAATGATTGGCTATAATAACTGGTTGATTATTTTTTCTTAATATTTGAAGCCGAGAAATATTTTTCCTCATAGATAAAATAAATTGCTGATGCTACACACACGCCATCTTTTCCCCCGTGTCCTAATATAAGTACTAAAGTACTAAAGAAACCTGGCATCAGTTTTTTAATTAAGACTGGCATTAGTACTTGATGATACTGATAGAAGAGGTGGCAATACTGAGAGATACTTGCTTTAGTACTGTTTCCAAGTACTGGATTACTAAAAAATTACTGATCCAGTGCTGGTATACTGGCGAAAATTTAGGTGAAATTTTCATTTCTCATGTCACTAATGATTTTAAATAGTATCGTTAATGTTGCATGTGGTAATCTTCATAGACTGATATTAATTGTTGCAGGTTTTAACTTGATACCATTTCTCTATTTTATTTTTTGTCTCAATGTAAATTCTCATTATAATAGTGGCTTCTCTCTACATACTATTAGTAAATGTCAATTAAGCTTTTAATTGTGCATCAGTTAAATAAGACTTGAAAGTCCATCTATAGACATCAAACAAAGAAAGCTCAGATCATTACTGAGTAGTACTTTTTAGTCTCGATGTATCCGAAATGAAATAAATATCTATTAGAGAGATATGCGTGTTATTAAAACATTAACACTGATACAAGCCGATTAAATTGTTATTGCTTGAAGTGACCACAAATGTATAACTTTCTGCATGCATTGTTCCGACAAAAATAATAAAGAAATGACCAGTGGCTACTGAATATGAAGCAAAAACACAAAAATTAAAAGTTGAACTATCGAAATACAGTTAAGAACACAGAAATTTGTGAATAGAATATAAATACAATTCCCTCATCTTGCTCATAATATATTTTCGAATAAAAATATTTCAGCGTACTAAAACGGTATTGTTGTACATCGTTACTGTTATGCTTCTCTAAAAAACCTTTCGATTAGCTTGATTATATCTTTTAGTTCAAGAATAAGCTACTGTTCTTTTCCTTTCTAACATTTAAGTATCAATATTAATTATAATGACAACTCTTGATTATGTAATAGACATAGAAAATAATTAAATGAAATTTGGCTTTCCTCCTGTGAAAGCATCGGATTATGTTTCTACCTGATAATATGACTAAAGTGAGTAATAAAAAATTCAGTTGTTCTTAACGTAGTAGTTAAATATGAAAAAAATGGTGAATATCATAGAGGGAGAGAGAGAGAAAGTGTGTTACTCTAAACGTACAGTTCTCATCGTGTACAGATGACACAATCCATGGCTCTAAATCTACCTGGAACCAATAACATCGGGAATATCATATTTTTAGTTATAAGTTATATAAATGATTGATAAACTTCTGTTCCTTTTCTTTACAGTCGAATATTTCATCTATACTGTATACTTGGCTTAATGATCATCATCATCGCACCTTTTCGTTTGAGGATGAACTTGAACTGCACTGGAATTTCGAGTCCGTGGGCTTGAAATTGCTTTTGGATAGATTAGGTCCGGGAACCGCAATTTTTAGTCGATACAGAACTCTGACAATCACTCAGTACCGTTTATTTCAGAATTACTCTATTATTTTCTTTACTTTCTTCTATACTTAGGGTGTAAATAAAAAACCTAGCAAAAATGCTCTTTTTACTTAGATTTATGTTTAATAAATTACTTAGAAAAAATGGAATTTTTCACTTGACTTTTATTAAAAATTACTTAGCACTTAAATAGGTGCCATCATGAAATAATCAAATTTTTAGACCTTTGTGTTTAACCATCGTAGAAAATCTTCTAAGAGCACTCGACTTTCAGCCGAAAACTTTTGAAAAATCTTCAGGTTTTGAGTATTTCGAAACAAAAACTGTTTTAAATAGCTAAAAGTGAACTCTGTCGAATGAGCTTGTTAAAAAAATTAAATGATAACGGCGAATATTTTTAACTTCAATATTTCCGAAAGCCCCGTGCCCTAAAACTCGGTTTTCAAGAAGTCCACTATCAAGTCAGAATCAACCAAACCCAACGGCACCATCAGATATGGCAAAATCGAAAACCCTTAAGACCAAGAGGATATGTCGCTTTGTCCATTACTTACGTGAATAGTAAGTATATATTGGAAAGACGCTCATTGGCGAAAAGCAGAGATCTTTATTTGTCTTCTGACGAAAAAACGTCCTGACCCATTTTCTTTAACCCCGGAAGCTGAGCTTGCAAAGCAAACTTGAAACAGTCGTAACTCAGTTTACACTCGAAGTAACAAAATTTACTTATTAGCAATGACTAGTTTATAATGTCAGCTCAATCTAGAAAAAAATCCTTTTTTTGCTCAATTGTCATCTTGTTATAGCGATTCTGCGATATCCCACTAATGTCTACGCATGTGGACATCCGGAAATAAAAGGTTAAGATACATAGTACGTACAGTTCAGGATTAATTAGAATTAAATTAGAATTTGTTCAAAAAGACATGCATTACAATTCCAAAGACGTTGATCCGGATCAAATGTCTGCTTGGTTACCTTTTAGATACTTGTCCCACACCAGTCGATACTCGAAGTCGAGAAAAAAATTGTAAAATATTTCTGGTAGCAAATGTGGAATGGGCGCGTAACATTTGTATTCATAAAGTTTGGTGCCCTAATAAAAACAAAGTCAATTGGTGCGAATTGGATACTTTACCTCTTTTTTGCGTCGAAAAACTCGGACACCGTTTCCTTCGCTAAATAGCTTCCAACCAACAACGTTTGGTTCATCCAGTTCATGAACAAGTTTGTTAAAATCTTTAAGTGGATTCATTGTTTAATATTGTAAATAGATTTTGTGTAAGAAAACATCTGAAACATTACAAGTGTTTAATTACAATCGTGATTGTCTTAAGGTGTCACTAGAATCCCATTTTGTAGAGGGCACTTTCTTCTATCTACCGATGTAAAAAAATCAATAGTTTAGTATTTCAAATTGTTCCATTGTGCACGAATTTTCTAGAGATCCCGTCAAATAACGATTTTTGAAAAACTTTTCAAAAAGCTTTTTGCTTGCAAAACGATACTCCATGAGCAACACGACAGGATGAGATTGTGTAATAACCTTGGAGAAGTTATCTATGTCTTAGCGTCTCGGAGATCACTCTGCAGAACTTACTACTTTGACGTACAATACACTCTCTCTAGTTAGTTTTTATAGCTTGTTAAAAAGTTAGTAGGTGGTTAGGCAGCATATATGGGGAGCTCAAGTAATTGAGCGAACAAACTCTGCGTAGTTAGATCTGCAGTTGATGAGCAGTAATGATATTGGTGACCATTTCAGAATTTTGTTAGCTGTAGGTAAGATATCAGGCTATTGAAATTGACACTTGGCAGTAGCTTATCCAGATAACAGTAGCCACGAAGCGGAATATTCTTCCTCCAATGCTCTCTCAGTTCTGCTTTCTCTAGTAATGGGATGAACTCTATTAGCGCCATGGACTCGTGTTGAATCCGTGTTGAACCTCCTATACTAGTTAATTATTGGTAAATAGCAGTGTGAGCCATATCAAAGTGTACAAAAGTTTTAATTTGATATAAAAACCAAATATACTATAATTAAAAAAACATTTATGTTAAGAAAAGTTCTCCACAGTAGTACGTTTGTTTTTGTGCGTTCTATATTTTTTTTTACGTACTATAGACAGGAAAAAAAGTTAGCTCAATAATGTAAATTTAGTTTCAACGATAAATTTATTATTAGTCAGAATATCTCTAATTAAATGATCCAATATAAAAAGTTGTATTACTACTAGAGCCATGCGAGATTGAGGTTTCTCGTCTCGATCCCGATCCCGAAAAACTCTTTTCTCCAATCCCTGACTCGATTCCATCACGTAGGTTTAATCCCGATCTCGTCCCATACGCTTAGTTACAATCCCGTTAACGGAATAATACGATGGGACACTACCGCACTTTGTGTGTGGGGGGGAGCGGAAATTCTAGCTGGGTAGGTGATCTACCTTTCTTTCTTTCTTACTTCTTCTCCCCATAGAGAAACCACACGCTTACCTTGAAAACAAGTCTTCCTTAAAAAACTAACTGCTGGCTACTTGAATAATCTAACCATGTTGAATATCGCACTTAGCCACTCGTCTTACAGGTATCCCCTTTTCGTCATCCTGTTGTCAAAGGTCCGATTTATCGGAGATGTTCTTCTACGGTTTTGTGTAGATATCTGTTTTCATTTTTCAGTTCATTGAGCGAAAACTTAAAAAGCTAATAACTTTGCAAAAGAGATCGTGTAATGCTTCGAGCGGCCTTATTTTATAAACCAGACTTTCCTGTACACAAGGCTATGTCCAATTCAAACTTTATCAAAAAAGAGAAGGGAGTTCCGTTAGTAAGGATTTAGAGAATCAGTCACCACCCTCTTGAACGGAATAATACGATGGGACACTACCGCACTTTGTGTGTGGGGGGGAGCGGAAATTCTAGCTGGGTAGGTGATCTACCTTTCTTTCTTTCTTACTTCCTCTCCCCATAGAGAAACCACACGCTTACCTTGAAAACAAGTCTTCCTTAAAAAACTAACTGCTGGCTACTTGAATAATCTAATCATGTTGAAAACATTATTTGTTTGTGTAAAAAAAAAGGAATGTATTGCTTACCCGGAGAATTTTCGTGTTTTTCACCTGTAGAAATAGAATAACTAAACAGAGTATTTTCTTTTATATGATATTTTGCAGTTTATCTGTTCTTCATACTAGTAGTCAGTTACACCTAAAGTACCTATCTGTTTTATTATTTACAGTGTAGTCTCGTATTACAAGACATATTAAAATGAGATGAGTACTATTTCAAAATAATGATTGTGAGAATCCATGGTTCGAGAGTTACGGGCGTTTTTGCTGAAGCCTTAGGACTGACTCCTCTGCCACTGGGTTTCGGACTGTCAAAAATGAATGAAAGCATAGATTACCGAATATGCGAAATCTGATGGCAACATTTGTT